TCAATTGCGTTATTTGTGTGACTCTTAGTTCGTGCTATAATTCAATTAATTCAAAACATTATATTGGCGTCGCGATGGAGCCTGCAATGGAAAAGTTAGATATTCATTCAACTCCTGAAGCTATTGAGGATTATTTGGAAAGGTTCGAAATTTCGAACATGACCAAGAAAGATGTTAAAGGTGAGAAAATTGTGGCACATTTTCTGACATTCATTGGGAGAGAAGCGTACAGCTTATTAAAAACTTTGGCATATCCAGAAAAACCTATCCCACTCCCCTATGCAACTCTTAAACAGCTATTATTAAGTCATGTAAATTGCACCAGTTTTGAATGCCGTGAAAGTGCGAAGTTTCATAAGATGGCTCGTCAAAATGACCAAAAGGCTCGGGAATTCATCCTTGAATTACAGAAACAAGCTGCCAAGTGTAATTTCGGTTATCAACTTCATGTACAACTGAGAGATCGATTAATTGCAGGAATTAACATACCGAGTTTGGAAAGAGAGCTATTAAGAATGCCAAACTGTTCCTTTCAAGATGCTAGAACTGCGTGTATTAACTACGAAGCAGTCAGTGAACTTGATATCCAGTCGATGAAGATTTCTAATACTTTGCTTAGTCGTCCTGATGAACTACAATCTCAGGGTCAATCAAACTTGCGTTCATTTAACAGTGATTCCTATTCTCGTGTAAATATGAAAGGTGTTTCAACGAGGAATTACAAAGCAAATCACAAAGGTGAGATGAAGTTTGGTAAATGTTTATCATGTGGAAAGTTTCATGCTCGCAATTCATGTGTATTTCGTAATGCTAAATGTTTTAAGTGTGGTAAGGTAGGACACATTCAGTCAGTATGCAAAGCTACTGTCCATTTTGCTTCAAGCTGTACTAAATCTTGTAATTTAAATTTCAATAATTCGGATGTTTCTAGTGATCATTTATCTTTGTCTACTATTTCGAAAGGTAATGCTCATATTCAAAAACGACTATATACACCGCTTGGTTCATTTCATGACTTTATTCTGGACACAGGCAGTATAGAGTCCATTATTTCATTCAAGAACTTGAAAGCTTTAGATCCTAACGTTGTTGTACGACCCACTGAAGTATCAATATTGGGGATTACTGGACACAGACTGCCCATACGAGAATGTTGTGAATTGCTAATAAGAGATGATAATTCTTCATACATACCTTGTGAATTTTTAGTTAGCGAAACAAGACAGTCAATAATGGGTTTAAAGAATTTGAAAAGGCTTAAGGTGGAGTTGTCCTTCTTAGTTTCTAAAGAAAATTCTGATACTTTACTTAAAGATTTGATAGCTATGTGTGCTAAGTGCAGTGGAGGTATGAAAATTAAGCCTATAAAACTTCAAGTACAGGGTGATCCCGTCTTTCTTAAAAGACGAATAATTTCTTATGGTCTTCGAGATGCAGTACATAAGACATTAAACGATTTGTGTGTGAAAGGCATAATTGAACCAATTCAGTCTTCAGCATGAGGTACTCCTATCGTTACGCCACTGAAGTCGGACGGCAAGACCCCTAGAATTTGTGGTGACTATAGATTAACTCTGAACTCCCGTTTGTTGAAGCAAACGTGCACGACGGTAGAAGCTGAAGATATTCTAAATCGACTTCATGGTTCTAAAGTGTTCTCGAAAGTTGACCTAAAAGATGCTTATCTTCAAATTCCTCTAGATGAATCTTCATCTATTTTGACGACAATTAACACTCCTATTGGTCTGTTCAAATACAATTTCCTTCCATTTGGTCTAAGTTGTTCTCCAGCCATATTTCAGGAAGTTATGAATAAAGTAGTTAGTGATCTTGAAGGTGTTGAAGTTTATCAAGATGATCTCATTGTTCATGGTTCTAATAAGGTAGTTCATGACCAGAGACTTATTGCTTTATTGCGTCGTTTAGTTGAGAAGAATATTACAGTGAATCCAAATAAGTGTTCATTTTGTGTATCTAGTTTTGAATGCCTTGGATACCTAGTTGATAGTAATGGTTTTAGACCAGATATGAAACGACTAGCTCCACTGACTAATGCACCGTCTCCGAAAAATCTTACAGAATTACGTTCACTGGTGGGTGCTCTTCAATACTATTCCCGTTTTACTCCTAATTTTTCTTGTCGTGCAAATTGTTTATTTAATATTTTAACATCCAATTCATTCAAATGGAGTGAGGAACAAGAGTCATGCTTACGAAGTCTACTGAAGTTTCTTCAAAGTGATGCTGTTCTTCGAACGTACTCCCCTAATGTACATTCTGTGCTTATTACTGATGCATCACCTGTGGGAATTAGTGCAGTTTTGGAACAGGAAGGTAGACCAGTTATTTGTGTTTCACGCAAACTTACTGTTACTGAACAAGGATATTCACAGACTCAGCGGGAAGCATTAGCTGTGTTTTGGGCTGTTAAAAGACTTCATAAATATTTATTCGGAAAGAAATTCACTATTGTTACTGATCATGAAGCTTTAAAGTTTATTTATCATCCCTAAAAATCCTTAGCACATTCCTCAGCTGCTATGGTTCAGCGATGGAGTATTGCTTTGGGTGCATATGACTATACGGTTCAGCACAGAAGTGCCAAACAGATTCAACATGTTGATTACATTTCTCGATAGTCATTGCAAGATGAACCTATTAATACTTCGGATTGTTTGTTAGTGCAACCTTTACCAGTGAGACGTTCAGATCTCATTAGAGAAACGCGTAGATATTTTGAATGTATACTCAGTGCTATAAGGAAAGGTTGGAATGCTAATTTGAAACGTAGATTTCCTATCTATTTTTCAAAGCGGGATGAGCTATCTACTACTCCTGATGGTATTCTGTGTTTAAATGATCGTGTTGTCATTCCTCCTTCATTGCGTAAATCTGTTCTTGAAGATCTTCATAGCGGTCATTTAGGTGTTGAGAAAATGAAGTCCTTGGCAAGACTCACATGCTGGTGGCCAGAGATAAATGCAGATATATGTCGTACGGCAAGCAATTGTGAGAAATGTCATCAGTTGAAAAATCAGCCTTCGAAGCGGGTGCCATGGCCAGTATCGTCTGAGGCCTGGCAGAGGATTCATGCTGACTATTGTGGACCATTTCTTGGTAAATACTACGCACTAGTAGTCATTGATTCTTTTTCAAAGTGGCCTGAAGTTTTTTTTCACAACTTCACCAAATTCTGATTTCACAATACAAGCATTAAGAAAGGTGTTTAGTCGAGAAGGGGTTCCCATGGTGTTGGTGACTGATAATGGCTCACATTTCGCTGCAGATGCAGTCACTACCTGGTTGAACGGTGTAGGGTGCAAACATCTATTTACTGCTCCCAGACATCCGTGTTCTAATGGTCAGGCAGAGAATTTTGTTAGGACATTAAAGACTGCTATTGATTCTATAGCCCCCTCAACATTTATTGAGCTGGAGAGGGGAGTAGATACCTTTGTATTGCAACATAGAAATGCCAGACATTCGGTGACGAAGGAGACTTCAGCGAAGTTATTGAAAGGAAGAATTCTTCGGTCGAATATGAGATGTTTGGAGTCTGCAGAAGTTACATACTATCGAGGAAATGATCTTCGACCATCTACGGGTATTGTTCTGAAGAATGTCGGAAAATCGATGGTGTGAATTCTAGACATCGATGACTTAAGTACACATAGTCTCCATGTAGATCAAATACAATTTTAGGAGCCAGGTGAGTCAGTTCCAATTTCGATTGTTAATTCTAATGCTTATGAGCATATTCTAGATAATACAGAATCCTTATCCAATACAATGTCAGACAGACTCAGGATGAATTTGAGAAGATGAACGATTGATTACAAACACCTAGACTCCAATTTAAGCTGTGGTGGATGTGGTGTTTGAATGAACCAATGATACCTTTGTACTTGTTGAATGCTTGATCTCGAATTCCAAATACAATATATCCGTTTGTGCTTGTGTCTTACTTCTTAATTCAATTGCGTTATTTCTGGGACTCTTAGTTCGTGCTATAATTCAATTAATTCAAAACATTATATTTGCATTGCAACCAACTAGCCTCCTGCCAGAAAATGTGATAACGGCTGGTATCCATAATCCCCACTTTCCTAAGATAAATGCACTCACTCAGCTACAAGATAAACAGACCCGCAAACAATTATCACACTGACTAGAATTAGTGAAGTCGAGTAGCTAGACCACCAACCATAGCACGTAACCGAATACCTAGGACCGTACCGAAACAACAGCAAGCAAGTGCAAAGAATTCAGTCAGTTGGTACAAGCTCGTGACGAAGATACTGAATATATTTGCAGATAGCAAACCACTTAGAGCGAAGCTTAGGTGACGTTCCTGGTCTTGAACATAATAATCTTAGTGTAATGCATGTTACAATAAGACATATTGATCTCAAACATATCCACCTAATAGTTGAATACGTCAAGTTCATGATCGCAGCATTCGGTAAACGGCCTGGACAACTAATCGCATGAAACCCAACCTGGTAATCGTTATCTACTAACACTAGTCGCGAACAATCATCTCTATGCTTCACAATCACACAGCAACGTAAACTTGAACAGTACACCTCTACTGTTACTCTGCAAGGATAATTTGGTGGACAAATATTAATGAATGTGTGTAAGACTGAAGAGAAGTTACAATTTCAAACGTCTTGCCACCTACAAGTATAACTATGATCAGTTAGAACAACAGATTCTGACTATGTTGAACCTCAGATACCATCAGTTGTAAACATGAATGTTTTCAGTTTCATATCAAGTGTAATCCAAATGCTGCACAACGCCAGTTTGATGTAAGTATTTTCATGAGTTTATTGCAGTTACCAGTAATATCTAGCATATAAATAGATATACGTAAGTGTTCCTTGGTAAATTGGTTATTTAAGAATCTGAGACTCGTTTTTTTCTACCACATACTTGAAAGTCCAACGCACTTACTAATCAGTGGGTTACTCAAATATATGGGTGTTGTAGATAAAATGTCACTCGATGTTGATAATAATAGTACTGCATCATTACACAACCCAGTTTTCATAATAATGAGGTAATAGAACTCTGAGGGGTTCCAAAAACTGCACAACATAACGTGCTAATATTGAAATATATATTGGATATTGGATAACTGTATAGCGGTAAACACACTTGGCGCGCTGCGGTGAGATATGTTTTGTTATTTTTCAATATATGGCCACTGATCCATCTGAGAGTAGATTCTTCTTAGGATGAGTAGTGACATACAAGTCATAGGTAGTGAGCCCATACTATGCCGCTTATCTCAGTTTTTAAACGGTCGGTTATTTTAGTTATGTTTTGTAGATATTTTGTGTAACTATGACTTTGAGTCAGACCTAAGTCCATATCTTTGATATAAATAATAACGTGCTTTAGTTCGTCCCCACTAAAATTGTGCTGCGATAAAAACGTATTAGTTGGCCTTGTGTTCAGGTGGTATTTTTCGTAAGTTCTCAGCGATCTGGATTTTGGGATCTCATCATCATTATACATCTGCTAATGGACATAAATGTACATCCTGTGGTTGTTCAACCAATTCTGTCCATGACGCTGATCAGGCTGTCATATATATATGTATATATATATAACTTGCGGATGTTTTCAGAGCTAACAAGGGACAGATGCAACTTCTCGGTCGCCTTAGCAAACAATCAAGGGGTTTTTGTTATCTAATAGCCTGTGGTTGCGGAGTACCCACATAACTCTTCAACTGCTATGCATAATTAGCTGTCATGGGAACACCGACTGCGATTTTGAAATGTTCTCCAGGTCATTATGATTACTTTCTGTATATTAATTTCGCCACAGGTCGAGCGGAATTCCTCTTTACGGTTGATCGCATTCCTAGCGATTTTTTACCGCGCTATTTTATTCGGAACAGGGTGCGGAGTTTTTAGACCCCAAATTCGAGAACCTTTGCTTGTCTGAAAGTAGTGTGTGGCGAGATAAAACTTGAACTCGCTAAAAGTGGATTATGGCAGTGACATACTTACTATCCAATCGACTTCGTTTGAGGATAATTTCCTGCACATCATTTCATAGATTTACATCCATTCGATTCTACCTTATATTGTCTTTTTTTGTAGATACGGCTGTAAGTATCAGTTTAAGGGATTCAAGAATAAATAGAAGCTCATTATCTAGGCCATAGGTTTTTTGTTAGGCTTTTGCTTTTTTTTGAATGTTTCGAAATTCTTACTGGTTTTGCTACTTTGCCTTCAAGCTAGCTGACAACGGAAAAGCATCAGGTTTAATAATGCAGCATCTCTGCTTCTGATATACTTGATTCCAAACAAGCTTCTATCTAACGAGTCTTTCCGATGATACCATACACTTTGCATTCCAAGATAATCTAATCCGACATCTTCACTACCTTTTATGTGGTTTTTGATGTGACGACTGTTTTTCACCAGAAATCTTATAGTAGTCTTATTACCAATCAAGGCCCTATAATTCCTTGATAGGAATATCTATTTAGACTGTCACACGACTTCATGTCATCATGTCCTTTTTTGTATTTTGCTTTTTTCAGTATCTTATTTGACGAGACAAAAGCAACTTGTCCTGCAAGTTTTCAGGATAGAATTAGACAACCGAGAGACCATATAATGAAGAGTGCGATGTTTCTTGGGAGACTGAGACCATTTCTCAAATCACGCTTTGTAACCCTACGAGAATTTAGCGACAGTTCTTCTGAAAAAGTTCCTTTTTATAGCACGAAACCAAGGTTGTTTTCATTTTGCGTTTATTTCTATATGTAATATTTTAATAAGAAATGAATAAGTATGCGATTTCAGAGTGCAGTTTTCTGTTTGTTCAAAACAGTAAAGTTTTGTCCAGGAAAGTCGTACCCCCAATTGTAAGTAACCAATATTGAACAAATTCGGTAGATAACTGATAACTTAATGAGCTTAACAGCCATATCCTAGTAATAGCTCTCTGTGTTGTCCTACACTGGATTTTGAAGTCATCAGTAACTGACAGCAGTGAACATCTTTCGCAACTACCTGTGTCCACCTTCACAACCGTAACTATTTAAATACTTAAACTAGATGAACCATTTTACTGTAATTCGACGTCTTAGCAGATTTTCAGACATTCAAATTTGTAATTCATGCTTTATTTATATATTGCAGACTTGCCCTTTGTTTTTTAACCACGAACCTGCCTTTTTCAGGTTTATGTACAGGGATTACATTGAGCGAGATTTTGAAGAAGAAAGAAAAAGTCAGTTTGTAATGACTCTTTTCTGGGCCTGGATTACTTATTTTCTCATTAATCATCCTGAAGAATTGACTGTAAGTATGGTATATCTTTAACCCTTTTTTCCAGGGCCATGCAGTACTCCCTGACCCTAAGACGTTTACTGACGATGAACTAGGAGTTTTATAAAAATTTAGATATGTAACATACATAGACATTAGTAAAATATAGTATACACTCGACATTATGAGAACCAATTTTTTCAATTATTACTATTTTGACACGTATGATTTGGAGTTCTACCCAAATCTTAGATAATACTACTTACGATTCATTAATGGTAGTTACCTTGTGTAAAACGTATGACATCGTTTATCACATTTTTGTGTTTAGTTGGTAGCTCGTGTGCACATATCCTTATAAGTATCAGAATTATCAAATCACTATTTACCACTATGAAGTTATTGAACTTTAAGAGTGTATCTTTATGTCGATTGAATATCTATATTCAAACCCAAAAGTAGACAAAATGAGACAGAAATCGTATCAGTACTTCTTGATTGTGAGCCGTATAGTGATTTTGAACTGTTTTATCCTCTGAAGTTGTGGGATTTTAAATTGGACTAGACTTTTGTGACCCGAAACCTGACTCCAGTTAGATCGGACAAATGGTCGTTGTTGAATGATTGCTGTGATGTCGGCTATCCTCGTATACAATTATCGACTTAATCCGCGTTAGTGAATAACAGAATTAAATAAGTCAAATACGAGAATCAATTTCGTAAACATATATTTCATACAATCGTTGATCCAGACAAACGAGCTGAGAAACGAAGAGAAGAGAGCGAAGCGAAATGACATGCGGTGGATAAGACAAGTGAGCCAACTCGATGTAATCAATATTTTAAGCCAGATAAAAATAAGCTAGAGATATGTGATGAGTAGGATAAGATGTGCACATACATACACTCATTTAAAAACAGAATAAATAAACCAATAAGTGACAAGGTCAAAATGTGGTTTAAGAAGACCGTCTTGTTCGGAAGCACATGACGTTCCACTATCCCCACAAGACTAGTCACAATGTCAAGTAGAGCTTACAATCATAGTAGTGCGATCAGGATTAATATGTCTAGTCGTTTACAAGTCCAGTGGTTCCTGGTTCGCAGAGCCGTTAACTCAGCTCGATGGATTATACAGACTTAACCAAAATCGTTCTTTTAATTGCATTTGGTTCTAGTTGTCTAAATTCGTATTTCTGTGAGTCAATAAATCTACACATCAAAAGAAATCCCTTCTTATAACTGGTTTTGATATTTGATGACTCCTATGTCTGTGTGTATAATTATCATGTTATAACTTTTTAATCTATCCGTGTTTATGGCATGTCCTAAATTGAAGCGGAGTATACCTGCTTTCAGTGTTAGCAGTGACGAACAGTTTTCTTGCTGCAAATGAAAAGTAACTAATCGATTGTTTTCATGAGACCAGTCGTCAACACTTTACACTTCCTCTATTTCGAGAAAGGTACTTTACATTTATCACCTCGTCTACATCTCTTTAGTCTTCAATTAAAAAAGTGATAAAACTGTATATTCTCAAGAAGCTCTAATAAGTGGTTAAGAAATAGCCTGGTAGCTATGGTAACACGGCATTCACATGTAATGGGACTGCTTATGTAGTATTAATGTCGACCTTGAAAGGAAAGTTGTTCACATGGAGTTACTGGTATCGACTTCATAGATGATTATGACACGGGCTAACCAAATCGTGGTTTGTAAAGGCTCATTTAGCTGCGATGCTTCCAAAGATAATGTTGCAGCTTCGAATTTAGATTGTAGGATTTGGGACATTGCTATACAGGTTCGGAATTCTGGAATCTTAGGCTTGACGATTGAATCGGTCTTCCTAATACTGCCTGTTTTCATTGGTAACATTAAAATGAAAGGTAGCCAACTATATATTACATACTTTTGTGTACATATAATTAATTACTTCGAGTTACTGATCTTACGAACTTCGTCCTATCGTTACAGTTGTCATCTTCATGGTATTAATGTTTTCAAACACAACTAAAGTGTAATTGCAAGTATTCCTGTGCGTCAGTGCAAACGGTAAATTTTAAATGCTGTCTTAGTCAGTCGTTAAGTAGCTATTAGTATTGGTAAAATTCGGTCAGCCAAGTTTGCAATATAAATCGTAAATCATATGATTCGACAATGTGGTGCCTATTAAATGTTACTAAGGTAATATTTTATATATTATATTTAGACAAATAAACATCGATGCAAAGTGACTCACTTTTGTTACGCCTGTTACTCCTCGTGGAGGAGCATATCAGAATTCTCCATCCCATCCTGTCATGGGAGTCCTTTCCAGTAGCTATTCATCCTTCTGATGTCTGCTTCCATTTCCCGACGTAGTGTTCTTCGGCCTTCCTCTTCTCATTTCCCCGTGAAGATTCCAAGCCATCGCTTGCCTCGTGATGCAGTTTGGTATTACTTCAATGTATGTCCTATCCTTTTTCAACGTCTTTTCCTAATTTCCTCTTCAGCGGGGAGCAGGTTTGTTCTCTTCCACAAGGGGCTATTCCTCATGGTATCCGACCAACGAACATCGAGTATCTTGCGTAGACAATTGTTTACAAATACTTGTTTTGCCAATTCTCGTATTTCTGCATCAGATCCTCCTTGTTTACCAATGATACTGCCCAGGAACATGAACGTTTCCACCCCTTCCAGAGCTTCTCCATCAAAAGTGACTAGGTTGATGTTCTCCGTGTTGATTGACATCGCAGGCAGTCCCTGGTAAACCTTTAAGACTTTGGGCTCCAGGGGGGGTGTGGTTGCAAAGCTGAAACTTAAAGGAACTGACGGAAGGGCACCACCAGGAGTGGAGTCTTCGGTGTAATTCGATCCAACACGGGAAAGCTCATCCGGCCCGGACACTGTGAGGATTGACAGACTGATAGCTTTTTCTTGGTTCGGTGGGTGGTGGTGCATGGCCGTTCTTAGTTGGTGGAGCGATTTGTCTGGTTAGTCCCGATAAGGAACAAAACTCATAATTACATTGTGAAATAAATCACTATTGAGCTAACGGTTGTACAATTAAATTGAAGTGATATTGTGGAGACTGATTTAATTTGTTGGTTACATTCGAACACCTTGTGAACACAGGTCACTCAATCAAGACAGACTCTGCGTTCAAAGTCATCTACAAGGTAAGTAGAAGCCTTCCTAAGACAATTAGACTGCATCTTCTTTGCATTGCCGAGGCAATAGCCATACATTTTGAAAAACCAGAATTATGTGTACAAAAGAGACTGGTACAACCTCTTCTTCTACTATGGTCTTAATGTATTAATTTTTTTCTATTTTTTCATACTCTTGTTCCCTTACAGTCACCTGCTTCACCTTCCATCTTCACTTCAAATCTTCTACCCCCAACCGGCTTGTTTTTATTTCCACGATCATTCCGATCACATTTCATCTCTGTTTCAACATTTTATTTTATCATGCTGAGCCATTAACTATCAAACGATTAGTAAACTTCCCTTGTTTAAAATTTTTTAATACCTTTGTTTATTTAACCTCACTGTCACCATGTATAACAGAAGTTTATTATCAGTATTATTATCACCCTGTAAAAATAAGTGTATATATTTGCGATTGTACAGCTTTGAAAATGAATTCGCCGAAAAGAGAACTCTCCGCTGAACTAATCTTTCTTTCTCATTTAATGTCATAATGGGCATATTCATTTAGTTGTCTCGTATTTCCTTCACTTTCAGCTTTTTCCGCTGTCGTTGTTAGGTCTTCCACATGTTTCTGCTTGTCAGCTCTAAAGCTCTTCTTCATTTGCTTGTTTGTTTCTGGGTATTCAGCCTGTCCCTTGACTTCTGCTCTTGTTCGTCTGTTGTCTATTGCTATTTCCCACATTATCCAGACATTCCACGTACCGATATTTACTGTTGCTCTGGTTGTTAGAAGGAGCATCGACCTCGTGATTTTCGAAGAATCTCAGCTTTCTCCATGAGGTATAATTCTTCTGAATAAAGATCCTAAACTACCAAGACAGCGTTTAAATAGTTTATCCTAGTTAGCGTTTTTTAGAAAGATTATTCTCTACGGCATGTGGTTGGTGACTCCATGCCCAAACCTCTTTCTTTACTCGGGCTTGGGACAGTAACCCTAGATGAGCTACAGGCGGAGTTGGTATAAAAGGGCACCAAAATATAAATGCGCCACAGTGTTTATCATTAAACTTTTATGGGCCGGGATATTGTCTGGGTCCTAAAACCAAAGTAAGTGGTTTTCTTAAGGACCCACTTCCCGAGTGGTGGGGCGACGTCAGATGAAGTTCCATCATACCTGGTGACCAGGAATGGTATCATATGCCTTTTGTTCCCTCAGGATCCTGAAGCCCATTTTGAATCAAGGTTTCCCAACTTTCCTAGGTGAATCATCCGTATCCACCAATCCACTTTAAGTGCCGAACATCCGCTTTTCGTCCTCTCAATTTCGTAAATAACACTCCCGCCACGAAAAGACCACGGGGACTTCCCTGCCAGTGGATATATATGTCTGGCCATATGAGAGGATTTTCCTCACCCTCGACCGTACCACAGCATTTTCAGGCACATCATCATAGGGCCTCAGGTTTCATTCGTACTGATGAGTAGTTAGAAAAACGAAATTTTTCAACTACCTCTAATATGTTCTTTGAATCTGGTTTTCAGCTTCTATCGTCTGTGTGCTCTTATTAATTAATTGTTTCTGATATCACTTCATTCAATTTTTAACTTTAATTATTGTAACAAAAACATTTTATTATCTTCATGCACACTATAATCCGTTCCTAACTTATTAATTTTACAAGATTTTCTGTTTGTACACATAATCTTTCTATTAGACCATCTTGGTTATTTCTTGTTCACATTTTCTCACAGAACTAGTACTTCAACAAAAAGTTACATTTATGTATACGGTTGTATATCTTGATAATAAATTCGTGAGAAAGATATCCCTTCGCTGAACTTCATTTTTTTAACTTTCAAATGAAAATTATATATTAACAAGCAGATAGCAACTTTTGGCATATACTAATAACACAAGAAATGAGATTTGGTACAAGAAACTTTGCGGAGATTATAATTTATGGACGACCTCTGGCGATACTAGTGATCCTGAGACGACTCACCTACACACTACACTAGGGTAGGGAGAGAGCAATAAATTACTATGAGGAATCGAGATTAGGATTTAGGGTTCAGAATTAGATCAAGGGTTTCCATCTGGAACCGACATCAGCTATGATGCCAAAATCCAAGTCTTTCTATTCTTGATGTCATTGGTTCGTCTATAAATTATGGTCACGCCGAAACTTTTATAGTTAAAATGGTGGTATAATTTGTTAATCAACCGTTTTATATATCAACGCAAAGAACACTATAAAGACTGTGTTGTTTACTATTGAATCATAGTTATCGATTAGAATAGAAACTTTTATTTATGCAAAATATGTACAGAATGTTTTTTGCTCTATTTCATATCATTTTTCTTTATAAATGGCATTCTGAAAACTTCAGTGAGTTTACGGGCCTGCAAATGAAAAAGGAAAGCTTGTTGTTATTACGTGTAACGACGTTAGAAATAATTTTGAGATAATAATATCTGTTACACACAGTTCATTTCGAGTACATATGTGAATACTGGGTATTACCATGATCTCTGTTATTACTGTACAACTTATTCACGAATAACACTTAGGTTTATTCGCAATATAGCATTCACAATGGATTATGCAGTTAAGAAGGACCACGAACGTGAAATACAAAGAGCTTATTACAACAAATCATAACCAACAAGCAAACTCCGAAAACATCGCTAAGAGAATCAACAACTGAAGAAACTATGAAGCATTCTTGAACACACAAACAAACTGAAAATGCACAATTGTTGAAATTCCAAAAGTATGTTCAGTAATCTGCAACTGCACAGAATACAGAATAACCACAGCTAACAATGGTAACTACCATCATCTTTTAGTGAAATTTTATAACACAAACTAATCGGAAACTAAATGAACTGAAGATGTACACAGTGGTTATTTACCTAAGTAGAAACATACGATTGACGGTTTGTTCAATAAGTGTATTACAACTACAAAATTATTTGAAGAGCGAAATGTTCACTCGGCCTTCAGCTTATGAATAAGACCTATAGTTACGTAATATGAACTCCCCTTAAAGCTTTTATAAATCTATTCAACATAAAGTTATTTGAAAATTTCAACATACTTTAAGTTGACCGAAACCAGGGCACTTCTCCAAAGTTGATTGATCAGCTCGTATTATGTCGGCTACAGTCTGAAAGTTTACATTGAATAAGAAAAACTATCTCATTCTTGTACTGTTATATCCTAGTGAAGATCAAATTACGGGTAACCTCTGAGATCTATTAATGGACTTATATATATATATATATATATATATATATATATATATATATATATATATATATTCCTAATGTACAACCGTTAAGTAACTAAATTAGGTATATCTATATTCCTCTTATTATAAGCTTCATTTTGACCCATAGATTATTACTGTACGATTTACTGTTCTTAAATTATGTTCAGTTTATTGGTTATCGTCTCCCACGTTCACATCCACTTTTTGGCTTGATCTTATATAGAGGTTATTTCCTAATTTATGGTACGATGCGGTCTGTTTGGCTGGTATATAAACCAAGCATGTTTGAAATAAATGATTCGCATGGCGGGAGCTGTTATTGGTGTTCTGGACTCAACTGGACGGGCTAGGGAAGCAAAGGATCAATTAGGACGCTAGGCTGCTCATACCGGTCGAACGTCATTGGTTTAGTACAGTACAGGAGTTAATAAGTCGTATTTCGATCGGTGAATAAATCACGTGATAACTAGCCGGCCTTAAAGTCACAACATGTACAATTAAAATTTTTCATTTAAAAAACAACTTATGACTTACGTATTTACCTACTATTATTAATTTTATTATTCATTTATCAATAGAATACGAAAGCAAATCAGTTTTTATAAACCTCCAAATGTTCGTTTTAATTCATCTGCCTTGATTAAATGTATACTAGTCAATTATTAAGTTAAAAATGTTCTGAGTTGTTATTTCGTACAATCTGGATTGTATCATTGTGCATAATAATGAGTGAAATAAATATTTTATCGCATCATCCTAAATTGAAATGAATTGAATACTAACATGCTTTGATGCTTGTTAGAGTATTTTTAAATAACTATTAGGATTACCAGGATCTAAGCTATTTTAATTTAACTAAATCTGTTATAGATCGTTAAAAATGATGAACAGGAAATCGTAGGTCTAAATCACCCAGGTGTATTTCACTCAAAGATTCGTAACACTTATTGCCATAATTAGAGACGTTATGGTACGTTGTTCTGCTCCGTTTAATTCTTTCAAGAACATGTTGATGGGATTAAAGTTCTTTCAAGTTATTTTTCATTGTAAACCTTTAGAGTTGACTGAATACTTCACTAGCAATATGCTACTCAGCTTAGTTGTTTATCAACTATTAGTCAGTAATATCTATTTTATGTCACCTCCTGCTAACAATTTGCCAACTACACAAGCAATTAAAAACCAAGCAAACAAGGTGAGACTTTATGGACGAACCAATCAGATTTAGGATAACAGGTCTTGGATTTTGGTGCGAAATTCATTCATCCACCGGCTGAATAGCGTTTTAACATTTTAGTTGATGCCAGTTCGCACTATAAACCCTAAATCTAATTCCTTACCCTAACCATCGGCTGTGAATCATAATTTTAATTCCTCAAACTTGTTCATAACCCAGTAATGTGGACATTCTCAAGGTCGCTTCAGCGTCGCTCGAAGGTTGTCCACAAATTATAGTCTCAACACACACAATACAAACTAAGAAGATATTCACACTTACATCGAATTTTCTCAACGCTGAAACAGCATCAGCCTTTGTGATACGTCGAACCGAAGTTAAGAAATCTGTAACTTGTGCGATATGATCTGTTTGTGCGGCTGGCTCTACCATTAAGTTATCTGGAGGTTTGTTTTCCAAGGCTTTATAAGCTTCTAAATATCTTGCTGCTTCTTCCATACTGTAAGTGCGTAAAAACGGTATATTTTGAAATTAAAAAAGACGATTAACAATTTTGATTTTCCTGTGCATAACGCGAATAGTTTCTAACTTCAGTGATAGTGGATGATACTGCTTCCTATCCAATTTTCCTACGGCCACTAACTAGGGACAGAAGTCGAAGCATGTCTAAAAGTTCCATCAAGATAAACTAACATTCTAATTCATTCCATTATACACAGTTAAAAGATTGCAAAACTGAACAACTTTCGCAGAGAACTATTACAAATAAATATTATACTGGGAATCGCATTTAAATCAATGCATAATCTTTCACTTAATTCCTTCCTATTAAGTTTTATTTAAGGACTCAATATCCCCAGCACCTCCAATTTTACTCTCTCGATTACTCAGAACTGAACTATACACCGTCGGTTTGACCATATAGGGGACTCAGGCCAAATCGTTTTGGAGGAACTGACACTGACAGATGGAGCCAGTTTAGTACTTGTAGCCTATGTATGCTGCTAGTTAGATCCAGACAGCATTCAAGCCACACATAAAATGTCAGTTTTAACGATTTTATCTGCTTCATTGTTGAGAATTATTGATTATTGAGCCTATTTTTACCATAAATACACCGTTCTCGGTCCCCACTTTTTCTAAGTAAGCACGTTTCTCGAAACCAGATTAAAGAGTGTAGATCTTTCTGCGACTTACAATTGGACCACATGGTGGTTCCTAGACGTCTTCTCTCTCAGATTCTACATCAATTTTACCGCAGTCACCCGGGCATTAAGCGTATGAAGTCCGTTGTTCAAAGTTTGGCTTGCTGACTGTTTAAAAACTAACAGATTGTGCAAATTCGTGGATGGCCTCTAATTTTCGGCAAGCAGTAAAACTGGACGGTCGAGTACCACCAACCCTATGGCCACAACATGAAGACCCATCATCCAGAGCACGCACGTTTAGCCGGGCTAATCAATGACATCACTCGCCTGATTTTCGCTTATGTGTTCTCAAAATGACTGGGAATTCTCCTCGTGGTAGCACTAAGAACTAACAAAGTCTTCCGCTGACCGGGACTTTTCTCAGAATAGGCTGTCAGATAAGAGGTCGCAGTTTACTTCCAAACATTTTTGAAAGTTCTTCAGTTGAAAATCTATTATCTACATCTCTTCACCACCACATTAACTCTCAACCAAACAGAAAAGTGATAGATCTGTTAAAACATTCGAAAAGGCCCAGGTAAGGTTGGGTGGGGGAGGTACCGTGTATTTTCCAAATGTGTACAGAACAAAAACCCATGACGCATTACCAAATCGGAAATTGCGAAAGCAAGTCCTTATGGACTGCATATTGAAAAAAAACCCAACAACTGATGTTACCAAAAGGACTGTGGGTAACACTGAGGACCCCAACATTGGTTCGGGATTACAAACTGAGGTACGGCGCATGGACAGAGGAACTTGTGACTGGGAGCAAGAGTCAGGTAATATATGACGTGGCAGTTGAAAAGGATAAGTGTTTGCATATTAATCAATTGCAAAGGAGCGTACCACCGTAACTTACCGTTGCAGATCCAAATAGACAGTCTATCACAGCTCTTGAACAATTAGTAGCCTATTTATAAAAGAGGTGTCATCCACTTGCTATTCTTTTAGTAAGCCCAATGCTGAATGATTGTTGAGACCATTTACAAATAAAGCATAAAAACTGGAGTATAAAAGCTCTTTAAATATTATCACTATATATCAGCATATACGTTACGGTATCAGTTATAAAGCCTCTGTAACATGTATCCCTCTCACATAGAAAACAAGCTATTCCTATTTTACACTTTTGGGTGTAACCAGAAATATATCAGTCGAAATAATTCCTTTTATTAGCCACAACGAAACAGAATGTATCAATTTTGAATGTCTATGTAATCAAAATGTTTTGACAGAAGAATAAAATTCATTATTTATAAATGATTGATCACTGAGTATTGACCAATGTCAAATCATCTAGACTAGTGGCAACGCTGCGATTCGATCGATGGAATTTGATCAGCACTTGTAGTTAAATAAACATAATAGTGGTTTACCATTTAGTGATCAATCTATTAAAAACATCTCATTCTCACTGGTCAGCAGAGGCTCAAAAAATTCAGTAGTAACGTTTCAGGCCGTGAAGATGGGTGATGCGAGTACGAAACACGTGGGGAGCAAGTTTCCTTAAGATTGAAGGTACGTCTCGCTGACGAGCTTACTTACTTACGCCTGTTGCTCCCAATGGAGCATAGGCCGCCGACCAGCATTCTCCAACGCACTCAGTCCCGGGCCAACCAGAAAAAATGATTTGCTGACGAGCACGAAACCTATATTCAGGATTTTTCGTCGACTACTTCCAGGCAAAGTTTATCATACGAAATCATTTCGACATTGATTTCATTAATTAATAAATTACAAAGATGAAAACGCATACACTTACTTCCAAGCCAACATCAAGGTTAATCTTTCAGTCCAACAAATTTTACACAACTCTTTTAAAGGATAGTATGGATCTGGCTGAAATGAAGTGAACATGTTTTATTTGGTTTTGATGGATTTGATAAAAACTAGAGCATTCAAACTAACGAGACAGACTGTAAAAATTATCCGAATTTAGGTTGATTGACTCTAAACAACATTGAGTAATGAAAATATTTGATTTTAAATGAAGCTTATAAGATAATTTTATTATCAAATAATCAATCGTTTATCTGATACAAACTGATGTGAAGAACGAAGCTAACCCGGAAATAATTTAGTAACTGATTACAATATGCATTTACATAAAATACGTGAGAAAAATTTATTTCTTGTAAAATGGGCTTACTAGTTAGCTTTCAAACTTTCTCTAACCTACGACTTTTGAAAAAGTTACAAAACAAACAACTGACACTTCCAGCATTTTTCCGAGATCAATGGTTTTTTTAAGTTGCCAGGATCTCTAAAGTTTATTACCATACCTTTAAAAACTATATTCTCAGTGTGTATTCCTCATTATCATTGGTAATATATTATTTTACTTCGTTTACAACTCATCTTAATTTCATCTTGAGTTAATGTTAGAGAATTCGGCTAACACACATAAGTAAGGCTCTACGTTGATTATGACCTATTCATTCTGGAATGAGTGGCCAAATTAGCAGTAATTTATATGTTTAATCAATCAGATTAAGAAACAAAGGTTTAAACTTTTGGAATCTACCAAGACACTCGTTTTGGCTTCGTTACGTTTTGTTCTGTAGCAACTATTCACATCTAATAGCTTACTGACTGGATTCATGTGAGGTATCTTTTTTAATACTAATTTACGGTAAATGACAGACAATAATAGAATCCTCTGAATACGACGATAAATAAATGTTACAAGTACAGAATGCAATTAGTCTTACATAGGTTTCTGAACTTAGCTTTGAGTCAAATTTTTGTGTGAAGGATACCAGTGACACTCAACACTCCGAACTGAAGTAGATAGGGATTCAAGCCTGAAACCCAGTAGCTGAAGGTTAAAGCTCCTTAAATAAACGAACCCTTAAAGAAGGACTTAAGATTACGGTAAAAGCATCTTATGATTGATGATCTCTATCATAAGAGTAACAATTATTAATTGAATAGCATACTTGTGAATAGTAAAAAAGACTTGAAAGAATCATGATCCATTAACAGAGACAATATGATAAACACAAAAGGCCTAAATATCACATCGTATATTACTCATATCATCAAGACCAAGAAATCAGGATTCGTAGTCGATTTCGCGGTCGAATATCTCGGTTTCGGACTCATTACAATTAAATTGATCATAATTACATACAAGGTCATGGATATCTCTTGATAATAATTGTCAACAAAAATAAAACCTATGTCCGAAACTCTGGATTAACTACCTAGTAAGTAAATGATAACAGTTTGTGATTTTAGCAATTTCAATAAAGGAAACATTATACTAAATAATTAATAAACCTGTTAGTTAAAAACTTCAATTTAGTCGCAGATATAACTTTATTTCCCACATACCTTGAAAAAAAAACTTTTCTTTAATTGTAGTAAACTTAATAAACTTACTACATCCACTTGAACAAGAAGTACAGATAATTGATAATGTTGTTTTGTTTGACGTAAACGTTCAAATATATATTCAGGATTTAAATTATGATAACGTAAGCTAAACAAAATTGAAACAGAAACAAAGTTACTAGATGCGTTTATTCCATCACATCGTTAAGACAATAGTTTATCTTCCAAATGTAATAATATTTAGTAGAGATAATTCCATAGTATAGGAATATATTTAGAATTAAAAGCTGGGATTTTCCATTTTGATACACGATAACAAGTTATCCTGATCAAGGATTTAGATGCCTCAATTTCTAATTACCTAATTTTAAAATTCATAAGTGATCATAAACTACAAAATGAAATGAATTTCTTGCATTTAGTGATCACGAGAAATGAAGTTTATCCGGTTGCATGTTCTACTTACTATAAGCCTTCCCTAAACAGGGTAATATGTGCATTTTAACAGCTTAAAAGAAGTCTTGTAATAACACTGTTCTTGAGAGTAACCAGACTATATTTCGAAGATGCACCCGATAATTAGGTGGAAATTGTTTAAAGAATCTTAGTCGAAAACTTTTATCCAATAAAGTTTATCAAAAGACCGTAAGTCAAAAATTAAAATGTCGAGACAGACCCCAAACTTTCATTCAAAAAGTATTATCTTAACGTGCAGAATAGGCGTCAATAACATAAAGTGAATGTCTGTGCTCCAACAGAATCTGAAACAATAACAATTTAAAGCAGAAAAAGGGGATGTGCACAATTTATACTATTTATACGCGCAATATGATACGCAGAAAAGAAATGAATAAAAAATAAAATGGATATAACACTAAAATACCATATTTAGGTAAACAAAAATTGTAAGCACTGCGTATGTATGAACAAAAAAATAATGGGAACAATCAAATTTGACTTGACGTCTATAATATACGTATATGAATGGCAGTTTAATCAACCCCTTAAAGACGAATGCAGAATGTTTGTGAAGCCGACGAAAAAATTAATGAATATAGAATAACTGAGTACAAGCATGTTTTAGTGAGTTTCTATAGAAAAGTAGTACTCAAGTGATTGGTAATTCCTTACATAGCACAAAGTTATTGTTTGTAGAATAATATTCAAGTGATATTATAAAAACGGCACTGATAAATCATACTCGGTATGTGTCATATCTTTCGTTTAAAAAGAAACGTTAATGTATGTTTCAGTCGCTATTGTGAACCCATATGTTAATTCCAAGTTAAATATACATTAAAAAGTATGCAAAGGAATGGAAGTATAACTGCGAAAACAACATATCTAAATTCGTGTTCCCGTTAGGTAGTTACGCTTTAAGTGGCTTGTGTAGTTGGAGAGAGATTCGTTCAACCTCACTAACTGTGAAACAGCTATAAAGCTGGAAAAAATTACTTATACAATGAAATATCTTTGAAAACTGATGGGTACAACATAGCAGTTGAGATGGCTGGGACACATGTTACGTATGCCCAACCACCGACTGCTCCGACGTGTAATATTCAATGGTGTAGGAGTAGATTGGAAGAAAGCTAGGGGTGACCAGACCAAAACATGGCACAAGTCCGTGAATTCACTGACAAGTAGACTGAGTCATATTGGCAGGTGTAGACTAGCCGGTTGGGGACTGCGAGATGATAGCGACCGATGGTTAGAGACCCTGAATGACATAGCTCAAAATCGTTTGCGATGGCGCAGGTGCATCCACTCTTTGTGTTCTCCCAAATTCTAATCTTCTGAATTCTTCATGTCCTTTATTTTCTTTCCAAATTTATTTCACTGGGTTATACTCCTTGAATAAAATCTTCAAACTCTAATCTTTCCGATTACTGCTTATACTCTTACTACCTCTACCACTAGGGGATTTGAGTCGATAACTGCATCTCTGTGCTAATGTGGTATGGCAACTCGAACTGATGTACGTAGGTACGAAGTTCTACGTTGTTACTGACTGACTACATGGCAGTACCAATAATGTCGTAGAGCAAACACAAATACTAGTTGCAATTACCAAACAATATTTACGAGAAACAGAAATTAATGTGACTCATAATTTAATTCATCGGAAATTCGTTATTCGATTTAACATGGGATTAATATAGCAAAGTCTTAAGCGAATCTAATTTTTACTTGGACGGATTTTAAAACTAGACAAAGGAGTTGGTATTTTGTTTGAACGAAGAGGCATTCTTAGTAATTATGTATGATTAATAAACTTCACGTTAAGTACATTTTACTTTTTTCTAGATTAGATTTGAAGATAATCATCCCTGTCAGTTAAAACGTTAATGTTTAATTGCTACGTGTATCTAGATATTATCGGCAATCGTTAATGTAAACATGTTAGGTTAATGCAATGAGAAGACGAAGTTCATCAGAACGTGTTGATAAATTGTTCTCACATAAATCATTTTTTTGAATCATTTTGACTGTATAGAAAATTTGGTTGCCCTAGGTAATTAAAGCCGAAATTCTGAGGTATGTAGGTGATAGTACACTAATCTTTTAATATCATCGGAAAATATATAAATTATGAGAAAAGTCTACTATTTGACGTGCAATTGATCCATAGACGCATCTTAGAACAGACGAACTACTTAGTCTAAATGTAATGTAAAGTTAGACAACCTGGCATTAATTTCGGGGGAAAGTACACAATTTGGCGTTAATTTTGATACATTCACCCTGCAATGGGGAAATTCCGGACTAATTTTCATGGGCTGGTGAAAACCCGACAATTTAGTGCATTGTTTATATTCACACTGACTGTTTTTGAAGGGCTTCGTCTTTGTTTTTCCTTTTTTGTATTCTTAGTACAATCTCATCTCTGGACTTCACGTCTTCTCTGAATGTCATTTTTTGAATACAGATACGTGAAATGCGTTTTCTCAACAGTGATTTACCATTAGATTAGATTTAAACTTGCCTAGACGCGAAATATCGTCAATAAAATGGTATTCACAACGAAGCTGTACGTAATTTCATTCGTAAAATCGCGCATAAATTTAATGGTTGCTGTCGTTATTCTAATTCGTTGATTCTTTTTGTTTAGAGGCTGTCAATAGCATTTAGTTTAATTTGATCAATTAAACGGTTTGACCGGCAATATTAACCTTGAATTTGAGGCATGATAAATCTTAGTAACTATTTCAACCTATATAAACTTATTTAGAAGTTTACGCTCCGATATGACTGAGGGGCCAATTTCCTACTTTTACCATTCATAGGCCCTTACGACTTGTCTTAGATAAGTAAGTGTGAAATACACCGCACTGTTGAAGCAAGCCTAATCAAACAACGAGTCTAGTCGATAATGTACAAAATTAATCTGGAATAGATTTAATCTAAAACACCAAATTATGGAGCCAGATGGGCTACTACAAATTGTTGAGCACTGATGAAAGAAAACAATGTAGTCAACACAGGCCATTTTATAAACTAGAGCGTTTATATTAGTTTTTCCAAACTCAACGCAGCATACTACGAATCCAACTACATAAGTTTTATTATTTCAACTACGCTAACTAATTTATACACCAATAATACAGCTCACTAAATTTATTACTATATTTGCGTTATGACATGCATAATTTACTGGATTATATTTTTCGTCATTATTCATCAAAATGAAACACTCTTCCGTTCAAAGTGAATCCGTTCTTGGTTTTTTACGTGTAATTTTTCTATATGTTATCAGGATTAACGGATCTTATAAAGCTTTGGAATAATCTAAAGCGATAATGGCCGTTTTCAATACACTCAATTTGATAATATTTATGATAGTGGCTGTCCTTATCTAACATGTATATTTTCAGTGTATTTATCAGTCACTTAAAAATTTGACAATTGGAGCGATAAGAACATGCATGAGAATTACCCATGTACACAGTCAAGTAAACATCCATAACTCTGAAAACAGCATTGTTACGAATATCTCAATGGTGATAACGAGTCACATAAATATCATTGACATGAAGTAGGAGTCATAAGTCCTTTGGCTATGACTTTATGTTCTCGGGATTTATCTGGTTTTAATTACAGAGCTCGTAAACAGCATTCACTGTTTTTTTATTCTGCAACGATAATCGCTGAGTTATACGCATAAAGACGCCATTTCCAAACCATATAAATCGTTTTATAGTTGACTAGCTCTAAACAAATAGTTCTATCAAATCTCAATTTTCTGGTCAACTTTAATATAAACATCGAAATATCTCTCTGAGTTGACAGAACAAACATAATATAAGGCAACTAACCTTAGAAAATATATACAATTATTTCTTCCTACAACAAAATCCGGATCAACATCTGCATACTCCCAGGCAACATTACGTATCTGTTTTAAAACAGGATTACCTCTCTAGATAAACAATTCACAATAACAAAAGGTCAAAATAATTGAAATTCTGATGAACAAGACAAAAAATCGTAAAATTAAACTTTTCTAATGACCTTGAGTAGCCTTTTGCCCAATCAGAATGAAGGTGATACGAATTAATTATTTAAATAAAACTCAAACACAATAGAATATATATATATGATTGCTAAGCTCATTAAGTTGAACAGTAGATTCACCGGTACAAAAAATCAATATGGGTGAGATACTAAAGCTTGTTCACATGAATTCAGTTCATTTTACATTCAGAGCTTTTGCAAGGCATATACTTTTAGTCGTGACTACACTACCTAAACATTATTAATGTGGATACCAATTATAGGGTGGGATTAAATAACGTTTACAAACGATTACCTGGATAATTTTTCTACATCATTTAGGCCGTAATGTACAAAGGATCTTGAAAGATATCACAAATACTTTTTGATTGTGCCCTGAATAACATCAATTCTCATCAACGAATAATTATCATTTCGGATACCACTGACTGACTGACTGAGATACAATCTGCATCATAAGCAGCTGTTTCTTTTAATTTAGCTTACATCACAGTGGTCTTGAGTGCTGTTAGAGGTATGAGGGCGGTTATCACTTCCCAGTCGCCCACACTGTGGAAGGGTTGTTCTGGAGGTACCTGAAAAGGAAATTGGACTAGAGGTGGTCCTAGTGACCTGAGAGCGTGACCGCAGTGTCCAAGGAACAACTGCTTGAGGTCGGTCACACATGACCTTTCTATGGGTAATTTTTGTGTTACCTCCGTACTTGTTGAGACCTTGCACCCGGAGACGGATATCCGTGGGATAATGAGGTGTGCATTCTTAGGGTCGACCTTTACTAACCCTACCTCTCCTTGTGGAAAGGCAGCATCGCTGTCATGCTGGTTGTCTGGAGGGAACACCTTACTGCTGTCACACCTCTGTACAATCAGCAGTACGACTTCGCCTTCAGACCTTGGGTTTGTTGCTTTTAGTCTTACCGCTCTTCAACCGACCTGTCTGACATGGTAGGACCTTGAGGAACAATTGTTCCAGCCATTATAGCTCGGTTGTTTCGTCACGATAAGCAAGCCCGACCACCACGTCAAGGTAGCAACAACGGTCGGGAATTTAGCTTACATACCATGTTACATTAATTGTGTAATCGCATCAAAGATATATCTGTCAATTTTAAGATATAGACATAAGCGAATTATATTTGGCTTCCAGTTTGGCCCGAACTATTCATTGTGCTTGAGTTTATACGTATTATTAACGACATGTCACTTGATAATCTCAAATAAGCTGAGTATTAACTAGATTGTTAGTAATAAAAATAATATATCTATAACGTCTCAAAATAAATAAGAATCCGTACTGAAAGTTAATGAAGAATACGAGAGAGGAAAACAGCAGTCAACTTAGATGGATAATGAAACAACCCATAACATAATGAAAATAACATCATAGTTTTAAAATCACCTGACGCTGATTCACAAGGATAGCATTTCCAGAAGTTAAAATTGGTCCTGTTTGTATTCTACAAATGTGTGAATGTAATAATTATGGAACTGTATGAATTATTCATCATTAATCACATTTACATTAATCAGTAACAAATTACAGAAATACTAACGTAAATCGAAGAAAATGGAATGAAGTGAATAGTGAATGAAAGGAGAAAATATCGTTGCACATTATCATTTATGCAATTATAGTAATCAATTTTCCCCGCAACAGAAAACTGAGATGATACAGAATATTTGTAGCTTGGGATGAGAATTTCGGAGATAATGTTTTCTGAGCAGGACAGTGAGGTTAAGTATGTATTCATGATGTTGTCTAGAAAGATATTGAAAGCATCACGGTTAAACCATCCAGCTCAAAGAATACAACTCCAAAAAATAGAAAAACAAGTGTCGACATGAAATAATAATATTAAAGAGTGTAAATTTATGTGTATGAAAGTGTTAGATTACAACTTAATTAAAATGTTATACCATATATTTACATGATATACGTATGGTGACAGCTGATGGCATACAACTATCTCATTTTATTGCTGAACATATAATAAAAATTTCACTGGTTGAAATCATGAGTCAATTGAAGCTAGACCACCATGGAAAACCTGGAAGCAATAGACAGCCGTTTCGTCCTAGTATGGAACTCCTCAGCAATGCGCATCCACGATCGCGCCCCCGCGAGATTGGAACCCATGACCTATTAGTCTCGTGCGCGAGTGCTTAATCTTTAGACCACTGAGCCAGCATCCAATGGTGTTAATGTCTAACTTCAACCAATCCACGAAGTTGCGCCACCGTACGCGCGCGGGACTGATAGGTTCTGGGTTCCAATCTCGTGGAGGGCGAGATAACGAATGTGCACTGCTGAGGAGTCCCATACTAGGACGACGAAACGGCTATCCAGTGCTTGCAGGTTTTCCATGGTGATCTAGCTTCGATTGACTCATGATTTCAACCAGTGGAATTTCTAAAATCTTCACAAAACCCTTCTGATATAATAAAAAGACGTTATGGGATTAATTTGAGAACAGGCACTTCAACAAATGCTCTATACAAATAACCAAAAAAATTTTCGATTTTTTCTAAGGCTTTAGTTATAGGGAAATTCAAACTAATTGTACTTATATTAGAAGCAACCTGATAATATTCAGTTTATTTTTATATAAAGTATAACCCTGTTATTTGTCCTTTATTATCCTTATTAAATACTTTTTAATTATCATATAAATATGTAAACAATTGTTGTTTGGACTGTGTTTTTTGAGCACACAGATTCGATGTGAAATAAGCGCTGATAATATTGCCTAGAACAACAACTATACTTTTACAATTAGACCACCAAGCCCAAAGGATGTCAAGCAGTCTTAAACATTTATCTGGATTATGAATTTTTCGCATTAAAATAATTTAATTTATCAACAGACTATTCGACATGCACTTATTTGATATGTTGTATGATATTGAACTTCATTTTATCATTACATTATTTGATTATAAGTTTATTATCGTTACAAAGAAAGTCTTAGTTTATTCATTTATTTAAATCACTTCATTGAGATTGATATAGTTTTAATCATTCACAAATTTCTGATTCAAACTTTTAGTCGGCAGACAATCCTAAACGATGATCCCCGTGATGATAAGTGACTACAGTTAACCGTGCTCAAGCATTCAGCTTTGGATTAACTAAGATTCCGATTAAGGATAGTTCCTAAACATGTGTTTGGCAAGTGCACTTTATTCGGCTAATATAACATGCTCTAGAAGTTACAATGATCATAGGAAAGAAGATTTTCTGCACTATAAAGTCTTTTTGTTTAATGAATAATTCTTCGAATAACCAAAACTAATTAAATTGCGAATTTACTAAGACTTAAATTCTTAAAGTAATAAGTCCCTTTTATAAATTTCTATAGAGCAACTCCGTATTCTCATTGTTGTATCGGGATTTTATATTTCTACAAACTCAGATGAATGAATGTATAAAGTAAATGGAACACTGCATATTTTATATGATTATAGATACTATCAAGCTAATCTGTGCAAATCTATAATTTAAAAAGACACAATTTAGCCTTCAATACGTTACAATCAATATACATGAATATCATATGATTCAAAGAAGGAATAATAAAATATACACAATCCGAACAGTGGTTTTCAATGCGACAGATGCACAAACTACAGGTAGCTATCATACTACGATAGAAGTCAAAGTACTCATCGACTGGCAGTCAAGTAAAGACTGTATGTATTATGTTAGATTAAATCAGTGGTGGATGTTTAAATTATAACAAAACTGGTTATTGGTTTCGTTACGGACATGTCAGTTGCATAATTTCTAAAACTACTCTTGACATAAGCTGAAACCGAACTACTATGAGAGAGAGAGTTTAAGTGTAGAATTTAATGCAAAAATGAAAATAAAAGAATTCAGTCCTATGGTTTATCTACTTAGTTACAATTGAAATTACCTCTTGTTTTCTTCCGCTAAGTTAGCAGATGAGACAAGAACGCGTGATAGAGATGGCAGCTGAGATTCACAAACAGGTTTAGCAATATCAGGTTTCAAAAGTGAACCCAAAGTAAACTGTTTGTTAGGAGATACTGATTGGTTTGTTTCACTAGATGATGACTGAGGCGCACACCAAGATTTCGGCATACCTTGATTTGAAGAAGTCTCATCTTTTTGACCGTTTTTTGATGTTAATGTTGATGACATTGTAGCATTATCAACTGTTGCGGCGGTCGCAGCTGAAATTGCTTCCTGTGTACTTAAAATGTTCAAATCCAACTGACCTTCTTTATACGCTTTAAATAATCTAAAATTATCCTAAGAATAAAAAATACAAACCACTACTGAATTGAGTAATAAGCAAAAAATGTGAAAAATATGATAAATAACCGTCAATCCTAATAGCTGATCACTGCTAAAAGACACTATCAGCACAACTGAGGAAAAGTTGTTCTTTTTTATGATTCAACTAGGATTAGTAATACTTTTGTAGCTAAAGGACTCATCACTTTGACTCCAAAAGATAATGAACGATGAAATATGTATGCTTGGTAATTTCGTAAATATTTTTGTAACCAATCCCTTTAAAACAATGCGAAATTAAAAGGTTGAATAAAAGTAGTGTTGCGGATGTGTAACTTTCATGGATATGATTTACCAGAGAAACTGTATGAACGATAAACACGGAGTAGCCTTTGTTTAGTATTGGCCAAAAGACGTTTAGTTAAGTATGGATCAGTTTACATATAAGAACAGACAAAGTAGTGTAGACACGGAGAAATAGACATACATCTGTTTATAAAAGTGTACATAAATTAAAGATCAACATTAGTTGGATATTAACACAAAATAGAACCAATAACGTTGCAAATACATATACAAAAATCGGATAAGTTCAAATAACAGCTTGTAACGATCTGTCGCCAGTTCACAATACGATTATAAATCTAACTAAATCTTTATTGTTTCATATATATAGAAAGCGCTACAATACTAGATATTACTACCAGGATTGAGGACTGAACCACTAAATCACTGTTCACATACTTATGAGAAGCTTGAGAAGAATTTCACCGAAATCATCATAGCTCACTTCATAAAGATTGGTTAATTAGTTGAATGGTAGATTTTTTTAATGCTAACAGTGTACCAGTGTAGATTTGCGTTTACCCGACTAAATAATCATAAGCCTGTAGTAAATGTGACTCAAACTTACGTAGAATAATTAAAAAACTAGTGTCGATTGTAGGTAGGCAAGTGTTGATTATACACTTCGATATATCCTAACGATTAACAGTAAGATAGGTATTTATTAGGAAGGATCTGAGTTATCCTTATGTTTAGAATAAAATGTACTGGGTTTGAGTCCTGGAGTGAACATAAGTAAACATTTCTTTGTGCATAACTATTCACTTTTGTAAATATACATATTGCATTAAACTGGATTCAATAACATGAGATCATTTTAACCTCATAAGTTTAACGTATAGAAAATCACATAAGAAACTCCCAATGAAGTCAAAACGCTTAAGAAATTATGCACGAAAAATTACATGTTTGTCATCGAAAGTATCCGATAGATTTGTATCCAATCTCCCATCTTCGTCCTCTGAATTTGTTTCATTCATTAGTCACTTTCTGTAAAGCTGCAGATAATAAAAAGAACAGTAAATAACTATCAAATATCTGTTGTGCATCGTACTATCTTAAAATTATAAGCTAGTTAATCATGAAAGATTTTGGGCTTGGTGTCAACTACCTCCAGCTGACATGCAGCACGATGTCGAATCAGAGTAGCGGGTAGATTGCAACTTGATCGACAGTATCTGAGGTGTGGGCGAAAAAATGATTGGTTGTTTGCTCAGTTGGACTAGCAAATAGTCTGACAGGTATTAGATGAGTTATACATTTTCCCATCCTTATCATTATTGGTTTCCGGTGGAAATATGCTTACGTTCTAGTCAGACAAATAATGCGTTCTTGATATGAGTTGATGAAGTCCTGTAAAATAGATATTGAGAGGGTACCTAGTGTAGTATTCGTCTAAGGTAAACTAACGTCTCAGTCGGCGTAGACAGGAAAACTGAGTATTATAATAATATCTAATCACTGGTCACTACTCAGGGATCGATCAATTGTATAAACTTACAATTAATGTACAAATTACCAGATTGATACATCAAATTCTACCGTAAAATAAATGTTAATGTAACTGAGTTATCAGGTTTATTTTCATTTACTAAGCGAAAAAAGACTACGGTTTGATAGTGATGCTATATTATAGATCAATCATAACTCCAACAAGTTTCCTTCAAAACCGTAGCGATGATACACAAATGTTATGCAATCGATTGAAACTTCCTTCACATTGTCACCGGCTTGAACACAACACCCGAAATTCAGTAGCTTTTTAATTGAAGCATATACGTGAAACTATCGGATTGTATTAAAAAAGAATTACGCAGATATACGACAGAGAACTGGTCAGATTACAACACAAAAATTAGAATATTAGACTAGAGAAGTAGATAACAGCAAAATTTCAATAAAGGTTTCGTTATTATAAATAAATTGTTTCGAAATTTACAAAACAAACATACAGAAGAACACTTTACATAAATTAAAGGAAAGAGATCAAATACATAAAAATGTAAAGAATAAAATACAGAGCAAAGAGATAGAGAAAATGATACAGAGGTGGAAATGATCATCACAGTTTCAAAAGAATTATGTAAACACAAGACTGAAACGAAACAAATCTATCAGTGTAGTATAACAAAAGATATCGTGGAATATATTTTACTGATGCACATATTTAATTATAAGTGTTGCAAATAAATTTTGTTAAATAGATCGGTCATTCCCGCACTCAATTGAAAATAAACAAAGTGTAGTTAATTTGTTAAATTTTTATATACTTCACATCCACTATCATTATTACTGTATCTCTCATTTAGGAATAGGATTAATATGACCGCTAGCAATAGATATCTCATTGTGATCGAATGAGTCATAGTTAAGATCCCTTGGTGTAATAAACCGTAAATGACCATCAGGTGTACGATGTAGGTCAGTTAGTTTTTGGATTACCTCAGAAAGCAAGGGATTATTGCCATACTTCACAATTAACTGACTGCATCTACAGAAAAAAGAATTCATTGAAGAGAGATTATTCAAAAGATGAATGTGGATTTATGAATAAGCGATTTCAGTAGGTGTCATCTAGGATACGGATAAACGAAATGAGATATTCTTTTAAGCTATGCAAATTGATCACTTTCGTTACCTACTCTATTTAGCTCCTCTTATATCATGAAATAAAATGAAAACAGAGTATTCGATTTGTACGAAGATTACTAGACACCATGTACCTAACGATTGTATTCCTTATTTTACAAAAACAACAGTTTTTAACGATTCCTTTTCAGTACAGTTGATGAATTTAATCTGAGTGGTCGATTGTTTTTACTGCTGTGTCGATTGATCATTCTTTGGAATTTAGTTATTTTGCACTTGACGTATGCCCCAGAATTTCTTAAGATTTTACAGTTTCGATACTCACAGACTTTTATTGTTTTCTAACTTGAACACGATATTGATTTATACTCTTAATTCGGATACTTCGCATTAGAGCTTCTATTGACAAGGATCATGATAAAACAAACTCTAATGTAGCTACATACTGTAAAAATATTTTTTCATTAAATTCATTTCCTAACTTAAACACGAACCAAAAAGCATCCACTAAGATGTTTTATACATGTGAACAAGATAAACAGCTCTTACGACACTAAATTCAGTACCCACTAAATGCAACTTTTCATAAAGGAACTACATTTAGTAAACTGGTACAAAATTCTAACTGTCAAAATGTCATACGGGTGAGTTTATGATGGCCAGGACGATTCCAGGCAGATTTTAGGTTGCTGAAAAGCCAAATATACTGTGTCTTGGTCGCAACCTCACATGGAAGGTAGGCTATGTAAGTATGGGTGATTTATTGGTAAGTGAATTATCCAAGGTAACCGTTCACATATCTTGTTTGGGTCAGTGTAATAACATGTATATGCATAATTTTTGCACATAATTATTCACTTTCAATATACAGCTTCCTATCCATTCTTATTGTTTTTACTTTGTATGGTTGGTCGGGCAAGCGTTAGGAAACCTGCAACGTGACTGAACTAGACTGAAGACCACAACAATATAATAACGCCGACTATAATTAACTGAATTTTGCAGTACAAACAAAATACTTAATGGTATTCTCGTCGAAAGCATTTAAAGCAATTTTGCAGAAAACATCAGGAGTTTTGGGCATTGGTGATTCAAATAACGAGAAAAAGAACGCAGCTCTGCTTAGCCCTATGCAACCCATATCAATCGTTCAACTTTAGTGAACTGTTAGCTCGATTAATACTCAACAGGGTTGCTGAATCTCATTAGAGCCCACAAGTAGTATCATATAGAGTTTTAGATAAAACTTAGGACACTGTTAACTACGATGACAGGATCTGTGAACACCTAAAAACTGTATCTAGTTTTGAAATTAACGTTCGACTCAGCTAACTAGTGAACTCGGCACATTACCTAATGTATATTATATGACCAACATGAATTGCCGGAACTATAGAACGTTGGAGCTGCTGAATTTATATTGTTTTAGACAAGTCAACGAAATATTATGGTATCTGTGACTATAAACACAAATTCTGAAGACCTTATCAAATTCTCATCAATAAAACTGGTTTATCTCAATGATCGAGTGATAAATCAAATAGTTTGTTTGGATCATACCCAAAACTGATTTTCCATCATATTGTAAAATGTGCCAAATAACGTTACCAATTCTGTTATAAAAGGGGAAACTGATACTCTATAAACTTATAGTAAAACTTGACACGAACGCAATAGACCAAGTATCTGTGCTAAAGAAATGATGAAGCGAGTTCATTTTGTTTCTTAACCAAATAGTTTATTTTGTTGAACGATGAAAGAGTTGAGTCTAAATATCATGTTGTAGCTCAATCACACATTCAAATGGGAAATCAAATAACTAAGTTGTTAAAATTTTATGACAGTATGAAAGTTGTTTTAGACCGTGGTTTTGTTAGATGAGATTTTTTTATGATTACTTAACACAAAATATTGATTGAAAACATTTTGGTCTTTTATGCCTTCTTATGACTACTGTTGTAATAGTGGCGTATGCTACCTTCCCTTTTAAACATACATATCAGGACCAAGGACTATCGATGATAGGTTTTGATAATATATTGACCATTGGTTAGAGACCTTTCGTTGTGGTACTTACGGAACATATGGTGTGAAAAATTACCAATCAAAAAAAATTCAGAACAACAAAACTTAGATGTGAAGCATCGACTAAGGATGGCTGCACATACATACATACCTTTCTTCCAACTTAGCTAACTTCAATACAGTTTGTTCTAATGCACCCAACTCTAACAAATGTTTAACACAATAAAGTTTTAATGATGAATTTGAGGTATGTTGTGAGAGAATATTCATCACTTGGTTGTCATCAGGATAATCGTTAATGGCACGAACAATAGGATAACTGAATTTTCCTTCAGTTAAATCTTCTGCGAATGTTTTTTTTCTATGATACTAGAAATAGGTAGTTAAAAAAATAATAATGTTGACTATGATAAAAATTTAAGCACTGAGTAGGGGTACGATGCGTTGTAACTGATTCATAAAGTATTGAAACAAATAAATCAATAGTATAGTAGATAGTTTGAGGAAATAGACACGAAATCACATACCTAGTTTGCGTGCTATTTAGCACTCGTCAACACCCAATGATCAATTAGTTGTAAAGACATATTGGTCCTACAGGGTCAGTTATGACTCAAATAGCTGTGTTAACGTCTTCAGCTGTGAAGCTGGGTGATGGGGATTCAAACACTAAAGGAAGCATCAGTAATCTCCGAACTTCGGGCACGCCAACTAATCGTGACCTAAGTCAAAAGTTTGCTGTAGACTAACTCAAACCGCTTAAGAGTTCAACATACCGCACGCGATGTCGAGTCACTCAAACTGATGAACATCAGTCAGTCAGTTAGTAACAACGTAGAACTTTGTATGTACGTACATCAGTTCGAGTTGGTACACCACATTAGCACAGAGATAGAGTGGTCGATTTAAATACCATAGTGGTAGATGTAGTGAAATTATAAGCTGTAATCAGAAAAATTAGGGTTTGAAGATGTTATTCAAGGAGTATAATCCAGTGAAATAACTTTGGAAAGAGAAAAAAGAAAGGGACATGAAGAATTCAGAAGATTAGAATTTGGGAGAACACAAAGAGTGGATGCACCTGCGCCATCGCAAACGATTTTGAGCTATGTCATTCAGGGTCTCTAACCATCGGTCGCTATCATCTCGCAGTCCCCAACCGGCTAGTCTACACCTGCCAATATGACTCAGTCTACTTGTCAGTGAATTCACGGACTTGTGCCATGTTTTGGTCTGGTCACCCCTAGCTTTCTTCCAATCTACTCCTACACCATTGAATATTACACGTCGGAGCAGTCGGTGGTTGGGCATACGTAACATGTGTCCCAGTCATCTCAGCTGAAGTTTCACTATTTCATCAATTGAT